AATGTGCTGAAGTTGCATTGCAAAATTTACGTTACTTTAAACGAGACGGGGAACTAATCTTTATATCGGCACTCTATCAACTACAAATATCAACTACCAAACCAGTGACAGATCATCCTTACGCATGGCTCAAGTACGAAAGGGGTTTGAGGTGTGGTGATAAACCACTGACCGGTTAGCCGGCGACAACAGGATTGAAAGTAGAAGTGTGATTGGATGTTTAGGAAAAAAATAGGCAACCGATACGTTAAAAAAGTAGTAAAGTTTATACGTAATGCACGACGATGCGACAAGATAGAGCGCGGTGAACTAAAATCCGTTCAGTTACCACCCCGCGCTGAGTTCATGAGACAGCTGACGCCATTGAGCTGTATGTATATATAAAAATGGTCTCGAAGTAATTTTCGCGCACGAACATTTGAGCACGCAACCTTAACGTAACGAGGTTTGCTGACTGCATTATTACTGCACACAGCACAAAATACTCTCAATCATAATGGTGTAAATGAAAAGACGATAAATTTTGAGTAGATAGTTTGATACAACAAAAGAAACAGTTTGTTTTAATATGAACCTTCTACTGAAGTTGGGAAGGCGCGTGAACTCAGAAGTCTTAAGGCTGCCGCACAATAGCCGATTTTTTGTCGTAGAACTACAGATTTTTTGTCGCGGTCAAATCAAGTTAAAATTTGTCAGGAGATCAACTTGTCGCACTCAAGGGGATTTTTTGTCCCGACTAAATGCGTTTAGGCTTGGGGCCGAGTCATCCAAAATCAAGATGGCGCCTATTCCAATGACGTAACTCTCATGGCATTTCCTAATTGGTTGAGGCGTGCGCGAGCCCTGACACATTGTCGTAGTCCACCGCACACTAGCCGACAAGGCTCGACGAGACGTTTTGAGATCTAGCAGTGTCCGATGTCGCCCGACAAACCCCGATCTTGTCGCAGACTTGTCTGAATTCACCGCACACTAGCCGACAATTAATCGGCTAGTGTGCGGCGGCCTTTAAGAGTCATCTAAATCTTACGGGGCTTCTATTTCCACTTTTACAAAAGCTATATACAAAAGAGTGGTGATTTTTTATGTTTATTTTTTCCTTCCGGTTATTAAGTTGTGTTGGCATCTGTTAGTACTCGCACAAAAGTTTTAACATAGAAATGAAATTTTATTAGAGGGCCAAAACCTTCTGTCTAACCCTACACGTTAACAGAGCGAGAACATGAGTAACTGAATCTGACTGATCCTGTTTTTAATTTTTCTCTACAAAAACCTATTAACACTGCTTGATATGCAACAAAGAAGTTTATCCTCTACTAATGGAAAAGATCGCTTAGATGTTTGTAATCATCTCTCAATATCCCTGTCATTCCACAAGCCCTGCCTAGCAATAGTATATATGTTAAAACGTTCTTTTCATACTGTTATTTTGCAGCAAAACTCTGGATCTCAGATGCTATTGCAAATGTTATGCAGGCTGTTCTCGTTGGTTCGGGAATTCCATAACACGTCACTGTAGGCGCTCTCTAGAGTCCACTTTACAGACTGCGCATGCTTGAAATCTCTAACCTCGACCAAGATATTGCACTGTTAAATAAACAACAGAAAGTCTGAGAGAGGTGTTAAAACGACGTGTAATACCGATAAAGTATTCCAACTGCCGTAAACGTCTTGCAATGAGCTTCCTCCAGAAGGAAATACCCCCCTTGTGGCTTTTATCCCCTGTCCTCCAAAACCCCATATCCCAAAAACAAATTGAGCCCCCCTGATAACCATCAAATTCCTGAGTATAACACTT